CTTATCCACTTTTGTGTTCAAAATGTGCCATCCACTTGATACCAACAACTTTTGGCCATTTACTGGAGTTTGCCAGTACTATGTACAACATAGTGGACATTGGCGATCTAATGATAACATCATGTTCTCCAGTGCCTACTTCCGACTGAAACCCGAGCTAGAACCACATACCGCGCAATCTCACTGTCGGTTGTTTCAAACAACTTAATTTTCGGTCACTCCCTAGGTTAATCTCTTCAGTCAAACGGTGTTTCACCCTACCCAGTGCAATCGATACTGTCTCATTGTAGAGTAGATTTCATGTCTGGTCGTCTGCGCGTAACAGTGAGCACGCGGATGGCCGCCCACTTCTGCGTTGTGTCTTGATGCCGCGTAAGTGAGTGGGTGGAAGTTACAGTACTTCCTCAACCGTCCATAGATGCCGCGTGCTAGTCCGCACCCATCCTACAGTGAATGAGCTCACGTGTTGTTTTCGCGTCACTGTGCCTCACGTGGTTTGTTGGCTGAGCGCTGCACCAACCGATGCAGACGTTCTGAGTACACTTGTACTGGTTTGCAATCGGTCAAGACGATGGATTCAGCTTGATGTGATTATGAATTCGGTTGAATATTCTTAAGGAGGAGCTTGATTCCGTTAAGGACTGGCTTGCTTCCGAAAATGTATAGAGAGCGTCGTTGGTGATCGTTATCATTTCGGCCCCGACCGCACTGAACACGCGCATTCTTTATGGTAGGCGCTTCAACAAAACTAGAATATTCTGTGATAAGCCAATACTTGATGCGCTCTGGCTACTTTGCATGAGGCACAGCCTAATCATATTTTTCAACAACTTGCGCGGTATTATTGTGTTGCTCATCCCAACACTGGCACCCCAAGATCGCGGTTTCGTCCTGGTTGGGACTCATCAGTTGGAGATAGCCTGAGTTAGGCTGGAACTCAGAGCCTAGTGGCTCATGGTTGACGCCATAAGCACTATGCCACTGAGATCCGCGAGCAACGCTTGGTCCAGCGGAAACGAATGCAAAGTTGGACTTGGAGAATCCGCTGGCGGTTGGGTTGCTACAAGCAACCTCTATTTTCATTTTACTTACGGTCTTTTTGATCGGAATGGTCGAGGTCCACCTCAAGTGAACCGAGGTCTCAATAGAGGTTGCTTGTAGCAACCCAACCGCCAGCGGATTATCCAAGTCCAACTTTGAACTTGCGCGGTAATTCACAGTTCTCCAATCTCAACATGATGTTGCTGTAATCTGTCGTTTACAACCCACGACACAAACAGAAACCAATGGCGGAACGTAAGTCCAGGACCAGAAGGTTTGCGAACTTTATCCTTACAAGTTACTCCAGAGTCTGGAACATGCAACCACTAGGAATACTTGTCTGCACTCTTGAATACGAAGTTCGCAGAAGCATCAACAAGTTCTTGCCTGTGCATAACCTGAGCAAGCTTTTTGCTTGTCCTGTACCGACAAACGAAACGTACCAGCAGGGCTCAGGTTTCATCTTATCTAGTGCATGTTTCGCCACCACACACTCTCTGTGAATTAGCTGTCTTAGAATATAATATCTGAGAGAGCGGTTTAAGGTCAGCCAATAGTATTTTACTTCAGTAAACCGATGATTATGCCTTGGCTATCTTTTCAAACATCATTACTTGACCTGGTTTTTAAGTTACCTGATCGACCTTTGATTAATGTTCTGGGTATGTATGTAGTCGCTAATATTCGAAGGTCTCGCATCGTCCATATTATAAGTATTTATCCATATAGATGAATACGCGTAATGTAATCAACTGGTAGCGGCAGGACTCAGCGAACGTAAATACAATGAACATCACAAAAGTATACCCATATGCTTTGGACAGATATGCGATCAGTGACTGCTAGTTGTGCTTTATGCGACTGGGGAGAACGTGCATACTGGTGTACACTAGACGCTGATTGACCATAATTGCGTATTCCACAACGCTTCAGCAGTGAGTAAAAGTCTCTTGGGGCCAGAACTGGAGATGAGAGTAATCGGTGAGTTGACACAGTCCACATCTGCATCGTGTGCAGGGAAGGGGAAAATTCCTTCCGGTGTAACCCTCAGACGAATAGCAGCACACGCTGGGTGCCTCACTTAGACTCTAATCTCAGTAAATAAAACCCAGTCAGCCACGCCGTCACTGACACAAGCGCAACAATGACCAGTCAGCGGTCTCCGTGATACCTACAACGAAAGTGCTCACCAACCACATGGTTTTAAGGCGGTAAATTTAGTGAACGGTAACACTATCCACGTGTTGTGAGAACGAATAATCGGAAGACCTGGGGGACCCAGGTTACAGGATATTGACAGTTAATATACCTTAGAGAATATATATATATATATATATATATATATATATATATATATATATAACTCGCAAAGAGCTCCGGGCAAAACTCCGTGCTAGCCTGAAGAGAGACCGCGAATCTTGGTGGACTCATCGTGCGTCAGAGATGGAAGTGGCCGCTGCCCTTGGCAACCATCGTAAGTTATTCCGTCTGATACGGGAAACGGGCAGCAGGAGACCTGGTGTTAGTGAAACAATTTGTGATGAGAATGGACAGCCTATCCACAATTTGTCAAAACGTCTGGAGCGTTGGGCTGAGCATTTTGAAAAGCAATTTAATCGGCAAGAATTGTTCGAATCGCCCGTCACTGATCGCCCCGCTCCGTGGGCTGTCCCTTTGGATCCACCCTCTCGCTCAGAAGTCGAACGTGAGATCGGACTGTTGAAGTTGAACAAAGCCGCGGGACCAGATGATCTTCCTCCAGCCCTCTTCAAATTTGGAGGCTCTGCTCTTGTTGATGCTTTGCATGAATTACTAGTGAAACTGTGGGAGCAGGAAACTGTCCCAACCGACTGGAGCCGCTCCGTTATTGTTCCCATCTTCAAAGGCGGCTCGCGCTCGGAATGCGGCAACCATAGAGGAATCAGTCTGATCTCCATCGCCTCCAAATTACTCGCGTCCATAATTCTCCACAGACTGACTGGCACTCGTGAAAGCCAGATTCGTGAGGAGCAAGCCGGGTTTCGTCGGGGTCGTGGCTGCATCGACCACATCTTCACCTTGCGTCAGTTGTTGGAGCACCGTCACACATATTGGCGGCCCACCGTAGTCGTGTTCCTCAACATCAAAGGTGCCTTCGATTCGGTTGATCGATGTGCCCTTTGGAATTGTCTACTCAGGAAAGGTGTGCCCGAGAAATATGTAAATATTATCCAAGCATTATATGCGCGTAGCACGGGCAGAGTAAGGGCTAACAGCAGGCTGTCGCCACCCTTCAATATATCCAGCGGTGTGAGACAAGGATGCCCGCTGTCACCTTTCCTATTCAACTTCGCTATTGACGAAGTCATGGAGATTGCATTTACAGGACATGACTTGGAAGGTGTGGAGCTACTCCCAGGAGAACGACTCCTTGACTTAGAGTATGCAGACGACATTGCCCTCATCTGTGACAGCTCCCAGACGTGCCAAGCCGCGCTGGACAGATTAGCACTGGCTGTCAGTCGCTTCTGGCTTTGCTTTGCACCACCGAAGTGCAAAGCGTTCCTCCAGGATTGGCAGGGTTCGCCCCCTGTGCTGACCCTTGGTGGGGATCAGCTAGAAGTCTTTCAGAAATTCAATTACCTGGGAAGTTGTATCAGCGCCCTTGGGATCGAAGACGAGATCACGAACCGCATAGCGAAAGCTCGAAGTGCTTTTGCTAACCTTCGCCACCTATGGCGACGGCGCGACATTACTCTCGCCCTGAAGGGTAGAGTGTACAATGCAGCGGTACGTTCGACCTTACTGTACGGTTGCGAAACCTGGCCCCTAAGATCGGCGAACATGAAGAGGCTACTTACGTTCGACCATCGGTGCCTTCGCAGTTTGGCTCACATCTGGTGGGAACACCGCGTGAGTCACGAGCGTGTTCGACGCCTTGTTTACGGCCTAGGAAAAGGGAATGAACCGCTCAGCACCGTCATTTCACTCACCAGGCTCCGATGGCTGGGCCACGTGTTGCGCATGCCAGCCCACCGACTCCCTCGACGTGCGTTGTTTGCTCACCGGGGATGTGGGTGGAAGAAGAGGAGAGGTGGCCAAGCGATGACTTGGTCCAGTGGAATGAAGGCCCTCACTTCGGAGCTGGCCTCAGTTGGAGCTTCACGGCTCCCTGGTTGGGGTCCAAAAGACGGTGAACACGTTTGGCTGGATACACTTGCTGATATGGCAAGGAGCCGACCTCAGTGGCGTTTGTGCTGTGAGTTTCTTTGTCCCTCCCCATCCCTTTAGCCTCCCCCTTCACCTACGATCTTATCTCATAGCGTAAAACATAATAATTTTTTCTTTTTGCCTAGTAGCCGGCTGGTAGCTTACCGGAACGATGCCTATCCGTTGCTGGTAGTTCAGCTGGCATTCAACTGTCGTATTTATTTTTCCTTTATGTATTGTATGTATGTATGTATTTCCTTTATGTATTGCGGTACAATAGCGGAGGTGTTTTACCATCTCTAGCTGACATGTATAATGATGATGATGATGATGATGATGATGATGATGAGAGAATATATATACAGTGTCGTGTTCGGAAGTACAAGTACACGTGAATGTTAGGTGATGTGCACGTGTCTTCTAATGAAATCCATCGAAAAAGCAATCCAATCCAATCAACATATCTAGCACATTAGGGATCCTTATAGTGTACACTTCTAGGCAAAGCAGTGCACAACTGCGCCAGTACTCTAGAAATTACAACCAACAACTCAAGTGACATGGTAGTGTTTCCTGGGAACTACTGGAGGTATGCGATGGCTCAAGCATCTTGTTAAACTTAGCGGGGATTAATGGATATCCAAAAATGGGGGGAAAAGGCGAATTGTAGCACACTCAGCTGTCGAATAGTGTTATGCGATCCGTTTACGTTTGGTCGTGTTCCCTTAGATTGTGATATGAGTGTGTAGGTATTCACACCGATAACTCACGTTGAGAAAGCCAAAAATTGTATCACAACTTCATTCGCACACAGAACATCACTTGCTTCCTTTTCATAGTCGAAAACATTCACTGGGTCAGGATCGTTTTGTAGGTTAACTGTATACGGAGTCTCCCCACTCTCCGTTTTCACTTGAGGAAAGGCTGTAGCGGTAGAAGGGGGTTAGATTAGGACACAACAAAGCTAGCTATTATCTGAAGTACTTCGACTAATTTTTCAATCAACTGTAATGCTGTATAATGTAGACGTAAGTTGAAAAGTTAGCTAGACACTTGTATCGGTGGAACAATATAGAACGAATTAATCCACTTACTGCTGGCATCCTTTTTTAAACATACTTCTTAAAATGTGAGTTAAAGCATAAAATTATTCTGCTGTTTATAATTTCTTCGTCTACAATTTCAGATAACATACCAATTCTCATTATCTTGAAAGCATTTTGGCCAGTCCGAGGTAATTTTGCCAAAAAGCTTTTCCTTATATAATAACAAAATGCAGATAAAGTGGAAAATCCACATAGGTTGGTGTAGTTTAAGTGATTATTTATTGAGAATACCAAATTTTTCTTATATTTGTTCAGATTATATATTTAGGTTACATTGTAAATAAATAAATAATGAATCGGTATATTCCTAACGGTGGAAGGCACATTCCAATGTAGCGGTCTGATCAATCTACACAAATAATATTTAAAATCGTAATTTTTCACGTTTTATACAGTGGATCCAAAATGAGTCTTTGTAGTGGTTAGCGGTTTGAAGAAACTAGATTAAGAAAATGGGAACAAGAAGCAATACAGATTGAACCGCCATTTAAATTATGTGATAGTTATCGTATCAATGAGTGGTAACTATCAGTCTATTTTTAAGGACGCCAGTAACAATTGATCCCGGAGCATGTATTTTGCGATAACCAACTTACTGGTAAGATACTTAACAATATGCCCGAGTCCTATAAATATTCAGATATATTATGCTGATTTTATTGTAATGTGAGACATTTTCCTTTATAATAACATGCCTTTTCATTTTTACTGCTTCTTTTTATTGAAATCTTATGCTAGCTATATTTCAACCAGTTAAATTGGTTTCTTCGACAGGAATGTTAAAAGCTAACCTTTACAAGAGCTTATCACTATAATAGAGGAAGCTTACGGTGTCCTGGAAGGTAACATTTACATTACATCTCCTGATTATGGACAAGACGTTGATGATGACGTGACCCATGATGCTCGTTCTCCTAATGATCTGACAGTAAGACAGTTACTCAGTGAAGCTGAGGCTAGCTTGGCATTGCCTCAGGTATCGGGACTCGCGGCGAACACTGAGGGCGAACCTTGCAAAGAGAAATCAGAAAGCAGTAATAGAGGTTTCCAACAGGCACTTGCCGTCCCTATGCTTGCTTCTTTAATAAAAGCTCTTAAGGATACCGGACTTAGACTATGGAGGAAGAACATGTAAGTCTTGAGTCACGAGCTTAAACATAAAAGTCTGAATGTGCGCCTATTTTCTTAACCGACGTTCTTACACCGTCTAAACGAGTTGAACGCTTCTTTGATAACTCCATTACTGAGCACATAATAAGGCAGAAAAGTAAGTACCTTCGTTCGAATAATGACTACTAATTGGAAATAACTAACTGGTATATTGCTCGACAGTGTGCGGCACAGCCCAACCACAGCTGAAGTGCGTACTTTTCTAGCTATTCTGTGTATCGTTGGCTCTAATCCGTTAACACGAAGGCACATACACTGGGATCCAGCACAAGACGCCCATTATGCAGCCATCAGTCAAACAATGAATCGAAATAGATGTGACGCAATCAGGAAGTATCTCCATCTGGCAAACAAAGACAATCGCAAGCGGATGACAGATTTGCAGAAATTCGACCACTTTATAGCCTTATCAAAGAAATATTTATGAAATTCATTCCCATGGAGGAAAAACTGTGCGTGGATGTAGGTGTGACACCATTATGGCCGTCAGGGACTGAAACAGTATATCGGAGTCTTGTATAACTAGTGGGTCATTGTAACCTTTCTAAGTTATTCTGCCTATCTGGATCTCTACCAAGGTTCTCAGGCTAAATATGACAAGACATTAAGTTTGGGATATGACATTGATATGGGCCTAGTGGGCAAACCTCAAAGGGGCGACTCTCTCATGTCCTTTTGACCATCTCTGCTGACTCGCCGCTCAAAAATGCTCTGACCAACATAGGCATACTTACTAATGAGTAGGCGGATGTCTTAATTGTAATTGGTAAGTTTTCGTCCCAGACGCTCACAAGGTACATAGCACAGCCTAGACCGGAAAAGTACCAGACGCGTTTCGCCCTATTGGGACTCGTCAGTGGTGCGCATTCCCTCGGTACCCTACTGGGGATCGAATTCATGACCGATAGAGGCAGATGCCAACTAGCAAGCAGCTTAAGCCACTGAGACATGGGGGACGTCGGCTGGGCTAGACAATTTGCAAGCTAACTGGGATACAGCACGACTTATATTCCACTGCCAGGCAGGTTACTACCTTAGCAGATGACAGCTGCTGGTCTCCGAAGATCATGCCTTCCTCTCACTAGCTGCTACGTCCATAACAATTAAAACGAGTATAGGCATAATTGCAGCTTGGACAGTATTAGCAACTGGGACAGCTAAGTGACCTATCGACACGAAGGCTCTAGTAACAACAAGCAATAATACTCATGAAACCAGGTTTAGCAGGCGAGTTAACGTGTTCGTTTTATCTCGGAATGATAACTCCGTTGTGGCTCTTGCCAGTAAACTTGTTGGTGCATAGCTAACAAAAGTAAGGAGGTGGTTGGAGACGAACCAAAAACCTCCACTTATCGAACAACATGGTGTGGTTAGCAAGTATGACAATTCGATGGGAGGAGTGGATAGATTGGGTCCAAATATCCGTCAATATATACTCAATTTTGACAACAAAATGTGATAGTGGCCGCTATGCACTTTGCTCCATTATGCATCAATGAACAATGCTTAGGTGTGTACAGGAAAGTACCTGCACATGATTAAGAGCAGTATGACATGTTTTCCTTCAAGCGAACTACGGTGAACGTTTGTGTGCAGGTGTAACTAGCAAAAAATAAATGTACCACATAATCTTACACCCAGTAGCATGACACAAAGTTGAAGACAGAATCAGGAAAGCTTGCGCTGGACAAACTTTGGAATCAATGTCAAAACAAAGAAGATACCGTCCTGTGAGTAGAGGCCTAATTTACTGCGTCTCGTGTGTGATGCGTCAATATATGAAGCGTGTCTTGCCTAGAAACGCAGCTTTTCAGTCCCCTGCTAATAAAATATTACCTCATCAGTGAATATGTTTGAATGAATGCTCATGGCCCCACCTGAAACAAATTGAACAGCATAACCGTACTTGTTTCCTGCAACGGCGATCAATACTGCGATGGGAGAATAAGCTATGCGGCAGCGAGTATACTTTAGGCGGCATGGTTTTTTAAAACTCCTTTCTCAAAACGTCACATTTCGTACTTGCAAAGCCTAATTGTAAGGAATGTCTATTTTCCTAAGGTAGGTTTTTGGAAGGTAACTTTCAGTCTACAAGAGCGTTGCCAATAACCCTTTTGTCACTAGCTGGGATAACACTATGCACCTATTGCATACTCCTTGCTCAGGCCAGTTACGTCTGTCGAAGCGCCACCACAATTCTACCGCAGCAGCCGGGTTATGAGGCATCTCTGTTTCCATTTTTCACACTTGTCTCCATTCTAACCGGTCATACACAACGTATGTATCAATCGGTGAACTTGCCTTATGGCGTGCCGTAGGTTGACTATAACTCAATCATCCGCGCATGATCCAGCATTTTCACGATGGACGACACTTGCAAGTACACAGGTATTTGCATGCGTGAATACGGGCGTTCGACACCCATGTGACCGGGTGAGGCAGTTGGAGATAGACCAGCAGGTACTATTAGACCGTTGACTATTTAGTGCGCTCTACCTCACACCCAAAGGAATGACCCTTTGTAACGCATTAACAGAGTAGAGTGACCAGAGCATTGGGACAAGCTGTACAACAACCAGGTGGATGGAAAAGAAGGGTGACACGTAACTAGTTGGACATTTAAATGCTCACAGAGGTTGGTCAGTTAACGTGATGGAATGAGTGTGCACAGTGACGTAAACATGTGTGGTGACAAGCATATCTTTTGTAAGTGATCGCAATCCTGTCCGTGCATGTTTGAATGACGCTCAAGAGGTTATCTGCTGATGTATCCGTTCTATTGTGCCAGACGTTGTACTATTTATTCCGTGTCCTCATTCAGCAGAAGAACGGAGTTGACCGACTGCTACTTATGTGGATGGTAAACATTTATTATATGTACAGATAGATCCCCATCTTGTGGTTTCTGGGAATCATATTTTAACATAATCGTGGTTGACATACTGATCTTTCTTTATCACTTTGGTCCAAACAATACATCACGATATATTCCGATCATTGCGAACTCGAAATCAAACCTGATCGGTGTGCTGATGACAGAGTGCCGCCAACGCTAATCTGCTTGGATTCCAAAGCTGTGCTCCATCTTTCTTCTTCGTTGGTCGCCGTAACAATATGCAAGTCGTTTATTTCGTGGAAGCCACAGTAACTTTTGAGTTTATTGGTTTCACAGCTGCTATCTCTTATTTGGAGTACACATCCGCAAGTACCTGGTGGGCCCGATATTTCCTTACTCCCTTATTGTAAACAAACTCTAGAACTCACTTAAGCCGCGGGCTCTATGAGGCAAAGCCATGTGCGGAATTTTCTCCTGTGCAAATTGACTGTTGTCCATTGTAGTATAACGATCAACCTAAGGACAATATTCTTGCAATGTTTAAACTTGCTATTATAACGCTCCAAGGTGACCAATGAAGAACGTTTGGTCACACGAAAACGCATTAACCGGACATAGCTAATAGGAATGGGAAAGTACGGCTCACGTGAAATTGACTTTGTATCTACCATAACGGTCAGAATTCACCGCTAGCCTTAGCAAATATCTACACGCAGATGAGCCCAAGTAGATTTCCATGAGCCTGATGTTATACCTCGTTATCATTCTACACGTTAACTGGAGATGAGTCATTTCTCAGCAACTATCATAATAGAAGGCAGTGGGCTGCTCGACAAATAAAAGAGTACACGTTGCAAAATCAAAACAATTGACATTAAAAAATTTGGGTTTTGCCCGCCCGAAGACTCTGCAGTACATGAGAAGTTTCGATGTTATTTCATCTCATCAGATAGAGAGAGCTAGCATCGAACCAGGGATCATTGGAATGTTAGTTGTGACCGCTACCCCCGAGCCACCGGGTCATGACAGGCAAAGCTTGCCATACTGGTTTAATGAAAGATGTTGAGGGTCACTTTGAAGTACACGTTGTGTGGATAGGTTGCGACGCGTAATCTCAGTGGTGGCCGCGATTCCCATTGAAGTGAACCGTGGTCATTCGATCACTAAGATCGTAACTGAAACTGATGGCATTTGGGTGACCTTGTGACTTAGGGGTGCCGGTCACAAGTAACATCCCAATGTTCCCGGGTCCGACGCCTGCTATATTTACATGATGAGAGCAGTGTCTTCGGGCTGGCAACAACCAACTTCCATATAACTCAGCTACTGTCTTAGTGATCGAAAGACCAAGGTTCACTTGAGTGGGGAACCCCGCCCATATTGACGTTGGGCGTCGCAACCTATCCACACAACGCGTACTTCAAAATGATCTTCCAATCAAGCAACGTTTTGCTTTCATATTATTATGCATCGAGAGCAAGATCTTGGTTGTAGGGGAAGCTAAGCTGAATGCGTTGATAAAGGAACTCACCACACAAACGACATTGAGGTCAATTCTTCGGGATCGCAACAAGTGTCTCAAAATAAACAAGTTCCTCCTCTTTAGGACGCTAGCCTGTTAGTCGAGGGGCACCAACTGAACCGGTGTTAGCACACGTAACACAGGACTAAGAAATCGGAGCCCGGTGTGTGAAATAACGGTGTTGAGCGGTTCACTTCTTTCTCATACACCAAATATGAGACCCCGAACTGGCGCTGTGCTCACGCAATGTTCCAACCTGACAGGAATTAATCCGGAAGGTCGGTAATAATCGGACGCAACTAGCCTCTTTATGTCCAATGCTCTGTAAGATAAGTTCTCACAACCGTACAGTTGCAATGAATGGACGACTGCATAGTGGGCTCTGCGGGACATCTGCATGGTGGTTGTAAAGAGACAGCAAAAGAAAAGTATTTTATGCTGCGTATTCTTGACGTAGACACAACTGATGCAGAGGAATCACAAGCTTATTTGTTTTTGGGCAATGTTTTTTAAAAGTAACCTGACTGATTCTTGCAAAACGTCGAAACTGCTATTGTTATTCAGTATAATCCGTAATGCTTTGTTCTGGTCTTGGATGCGTGCTATATTCAGCGTTAGATTCAGCACGCAAGGCAATTGTGTTTGGTGTGCAAAACTCATCAGGTTTTGAGCTGACCATTGCTAGTTCGTAAAATGTCCCCAACTAGTGTGTACTAATAAGCGACGAGGAATAAAGTCATTTGGTCTCTTTGACTTTAACGTTATCTAGTGGCCATCCACCGTGGGGTGAAAGACAAACCCTGCTGGGAGCCCGTTCGTCTGTGGGACTGTCTTGTGCTATTGGGAAAAGCACACTTAACAACAGGTTGTTACTTTCATAGCAGGTATCGAACCCTCTGATCATGTGCTGTAGTTTGGAAAACGTCTGGTCCACACTTGGTCGCCAACTCATTAAGTATATTATGAAATACGACAATTACAAGTTTGCTCGTGTATTGGGTGGTCTTCCAGAGTAGTCCACTTCAGTTCAATTCAGTTGTTCAACTATGATCCGAACACGGAAGTGCACTGGATACAATTGACACGACTCACTTCGCGAGAATAACAATGCATAATGACGCCAAGATAGTTGGGTGGAATGCAAATAGAATGTAGCGAAAATGGAAGCAAAGTGGTGTGTCAGACTGATCAAACCAGACCGAGAATTAACAACCAGATGCAAGAAACCGAATGCAGGAACGCCCCTGACTGCGTGACTGCATCCTGTGTGAAAGGGTCGCCAACCATCGGTATGGAATATTCCGAGGCCTCCCGTTTGGAACACGACACCCACCCGCCTAACCAAGTCTCTCAGTTAATTTCTTCAAGCTTCTATGCTATATCATGGACCGGCCATCTTGCGGTTTCGCTCAACTTGGTGCAGCCACGGCGTATGATGCAGGTCGAGGAAGGTGGTCAACTGGCAAACGGAGGAAATGGCCTAGTCAACGTAACCGATTCAGATTCAGGAAACATTCGAGTGGGGAACCAGAAGGCTTGTTGCTAAAAGCCAGCTGGCGAACCTCAGCATTGCTGACCCGGTGTTCCCACCAGAGGTGAGCAATACTACTCTAAGTTCTCCATAGGTGAACATTTTTCGCCTATATTTATTAACAAGTATTATGCAGCATAAATCGTACCAGGACCTATCGTTCGTCGTTGCCACCACTTTGGTTTGATGTCATGCAGAGTGTTGGGCCCAACCACATCCTGCGGTGCCATACCAACCTTTTCAAACGGAACCTCCCGCCTGTAAATGTATTGTAGTGTGTCTGGTATATGGATTTATACATCTGACATAAGGACAATTAAAATGGGACAGACAGCGTTCTGCTCAGATCAGCTAATGTTGCGCGCAGTTATCACTTAAGAAGTTGAACAGACGTCAGAACACAGTTAACTACACTGCAGTTCCAATGCTAACTTCGAGGGGAGTAATCCACACATGGTGCCGAATTTCAGCAAATATTATCATCTTCGTGTAATCAGTGGCTAACCTTTCCATGATAATCTACTTAAGCAGGTACTCCCCATCAAAACACAGCGTTAGTTTGCTCCTTAAATAGTAGTATCACTGCTGCTTTAAGGTTGCTAAATCTGTTCATGAATCCCCCATCAAACGCGCACCCGCTAGAATCACTCCAATTACATGTTGGTACTCCAACGCCAGTCCATTAATTGAACTTTACTGGCTTGCAACGGCACTGAGTGCGCAAAGGAAAGAATGCATTAGCCGCGTGGAAGCCACAATTCAGACGCAAGTGAGCGAGTGTACTATACATTGGAAACTGCGATAATGGACGACGTACTGCTCAATGATTGGATCAAGATCAAGCTTCACAGCAACTTCCTAAAGCCAAAAGTACACCCAAAAGGGTTCTGGTAGCTGCTTGATGGTCAGCGGCTGGTTTGATCTATCATGGCCTTCTGAATCTGGACAAACTCATTACGGCGGAGAAGAGTTGTCAACGAATTGCCGAAATACACCGTAAACTTCAAACACGTGTCCGGCAATGTACAACAGAAAGGGACCCAATCCTCTCCACGAAAACGCTCGGCGGCACCTCCCACAACTAAGCCTGCGAAACTTTGCCTCACCCACCAGACTCTCCCGGCCTCTCGTCTACCGAGTATCAATTTTCCAAGTATCTGGATAACTTCCTTGGAAAGAAATGTTTTAATGCCCAAGCAGATGCTGGAGCAGCATTCGACGGGTTCGTTGCCACCAGAAATCAGGAAGTTTATTCAGCCAGGATAAATAAACTTGTTCCGCGTTACGAAAACTGTGTCAATTCAAAGGGTTTTATTTCGAATATAAATGTTACATTTGAACTAAGATATGCGCATTCAAATTCCAAAATGAAAAACCGCAATACATATTAGTAATCTGGTCTCTGTTCACTAAGAACATGTATTAAAGCGTTGTAAGATGTCGTAGATATAGCAACATTCGAATGGAGCTGAGCCAACCGAAAGTGCTAAGGCCTGCAGTTCTTGAGAAAACCACTAACCTACATAAACTGGGCATGAGAGAGCAGCAAAAACCACCATTTTGGGAGAGCAGTAGATAGGTACCCCCTACCATTATCCTGCCTTGAAAAAGGGACGTCGTAGTGCATTAAACCTACGATCCCGTTTGGTTTACATTACCACGTATATGTAGATGTAATAGTGTAACTGGTACAGTCAAATGCCAGGTGGATAACCGCTCTCAAATCAGTACCCCACGACCGGGTTCGTGTTTAGTTAACAATAATTTCCAGCAGGGAGCTGTTCCATGTATGGGTCCAGTAGTCCAACTGAGTGCGAATCCCTTCAACATGGATGGAGATCCCCGTTGACATTGTGCTTCGCAGTCTATCTATACAACACACACTCTAGAAACAAACCAATAAGGTGTAGCTTTTACTTTGTAGGAAACCGGTAACGTGAATAGGGTTAGTTAAAGGTTAGGTTCAGCTTACATAAAGAGATCCTGATACGTTTCAGTGTCTGACGACGGTAAAACCGTAAGCTATGCAGAGGTAGGAGCACGTATATCCCGGCGATGGATCAGTCAGGCAGCAGAGCGCACAATCACAACAACAAACCGGCGGCAGCCAAGGTAGAACGACTTCAAGACGAGCTTGAACCAGTTGTTGTGTATATAGTTAATTAAAACAAAACTGTACATGAACTGCAGCGAAATGTGGAAGCGTAAAAATAAAAATAAGCAAATTAAGTACAATCGCTACAATTTAGTAGTGGTTACAATATGTCAGTCGACGAGAAGGTGCCAACAAGTTTGACCTTAGTAACCTAAACACCGTAGTCCACTTTATGTGCATAGTTGGTCTGCGCCCTTTATGAACTGAAATTTTCTCTTTTAAGGTCAGTTGGTGTGGGCAGACAGAATTACGGATGCATCGTACACCAAGTATGTTCATCAATTTTACACGAAGCGGCTTGTAAAATGATTGTAACCTGGTCCGCTACTTTACAAGTGGCTGCAAGGAACATTATCACTTACCGGTGGCGTGAAGTATGGCATGTGCTACTTGTGAGCTACCCAATCCACCTTGGCCTTGTGTAGCAGCGGGTAAGATGATGCGGGCATTTTGGCTGGACAACGCAAGTAGAGAATTTGATGCAGGCTGGATGGCTTCGTAGACCGGGGACAGTGAGTCTTTCACTTGTACCTGCATTGCTAGATCTCCAGTTAACGCGGTGGTATGCGGAATATTCAGTGACTGAGCATTCAAGACTTGCTGTAAAAGTTGAGTACATGCGGCAAGCTGCGAGACACTCGTATGGGATTCTTTCGACATTCCCTTGGCTGATCGTTTCAAATTGACATCTAGTTTCATTGGAGTACTGGTTCGTTTCTTTCGCAGTGGACTGAGTATTAAATGGATGTAAAGAAAGCAGGAGGATGTTTACATGTATAATGTATGGCGTGTCTTAAGGAGCTAGGCTTTGTTGGTTCCTCTTCCTAGTGTTGCTGTTTTCCAGTTCCCACATAAAGAAAAGCGAATGTATTTTGCAAGGTAAAAATGTAGCGGCTTGTAATATATAAGCTTTTAGTGACCACAACGATCGGGGCCAATATCTCTGACAAGCAAAGGAAAAAGAGATATTGGAAGAGGAAAACGTTCGGCACTGCTGTTCCGATTCACTCCAGGCCAACGACATTCAAATAACTTGAACTGCTGTCCATAAATTGCATCATATGAGCCGTTTCCTAAGCGCACAATAGTTGTATTGAGCCGATATATATATATATATATATATATATATATATATATATATAAAATCATACAAAGTGGATACCTAGTCTGAGCGACATTGGCTGCTTCGCACGATGCTAAGAGCTGAAAATGCTTGCCGACTTTTTGGGCCACGTAATGGATCATTTGCGTTTGTTCTTAATCCTCCATGTAACCCGCGTATGGTGTCATCTTTCGCTTCTTACGCGGTGGACTATTCGGCCCATGCACCCAAAGAGAATGTCTGCATGCGGCAACACATGGTATTGTATGCACTGAATTTTTGAATCTGCTTAAATGCACTCTCCTTTTTCGGTAAACTAAGTAGCTGCCCAACCCAAACTGTCAACCTTGTGGGGGAAACATGGTTATGGCACTCTGTGCACATACAATCATAGCTCGCTCCGCCGTCATAATTTTGTGAGTCCTCTTGAACGCATCTGTCGCCTGTTGTTCAGGCGCACTCAAGATGGAAACGCATTGCATCACTGATGAGTTCTCACTTAACACCCCAATTTGTGTTGCCAGTCAGCAGGATGATGAAGCATATCCTAATAACGGTCACTCAAAAGTGGTGATAAAATTCACCCATAATCCTGCTGCTCATCGCGCGGACGCAAGAAATCCGGCCTCGTGCTCTAATCGGATTTACAGACACACCTCTCCTCACACACACACACACACACACACACACACACACACACACCACACACGTGTGTTTACATTTATTCGATCCACCTTCATCAGCACGATTCAATGCATTCCATCTCTCGGATCTAACTTGTATGGATTATCTGTACTTTCAACATCACGGTTTTTGCACTGTTACCGCAGGCACATAATGGAGAAGGTTTCCGAGCCCCAAGTCACACAACAATATTTAGGGTCTCAAACAAAAGCCTATTTAGAAATCTATACGACGAGCTTTCAACAAAAACTGTCGACCGCTAAGCGAATTATCTATCCGATATTTTGTGTCCCTATCACTTAATCGCTTTATTTAAAACTCAGGCATCGATCGACGCTGTGGTTTTTGAAGATCGAACAACAATTGCCCATAATTTCACACTAACGCTGACAATAGGATGGGGCTTTCCTTCATGGCATAAAAGTGTACCAACCGGAATTCAGTGTCCAACTTACCGCAGCAATATTGTAGAAAGTAGAAGCCACGAGTAAACTTTGCACAATAATCCGGTCCGCAGCGGACCGGTAATCCTTCTGTCCGGGGTTCGATTCCCCGTCGAGGCAGATTATTGTGCCAAGTTTAATCGTGGCGTCTACTTTCCACAATATTACACCACTCACAAAAACCACCAATAATCTAACTTTACCGCAGTACGTTTCATACTAAATGTCCAAAGCTCACAGGGAACCAGGTGAAGATACATACTAGTACACCAGATTCTCTACGGTTCTATGAGGCATGTATGGTTATCTCAATGGTAATGCTTGTGTATGGAGTAGCGCAGAAACACGAAACACTAGTGGCAATGATTAAACACCTGAGAAAAACTAAAGTTGATGCATTTGTGGAGTTTGACAATGAGCAAACCCCAGACATTTCCATTGGGCTCCGCTGCAAAACAGCGGAAGAATGCTGGACAGAGCGTTAAAAATGTGTTCAATTTGGCTATAGAAGTCAACGTCACCAGCTGCCCACATGGGCTTAAAACCACCACCGCCAGTACGATTGGAATAAGTACAGTCAGTGTGTGATGGACTAAAGGCAAATAACACTCAGCGCGTTATCAGTAGCGGGGTGTAAGGATGCGAAACCGCAACCAGCCAACAGTAATCCGCACCGACTACCCAAAAAAAGGAATATTTTAGAACCGCAGGTGTATGCGCAAGATGAATGGACGCATAAGCGATGCACATCACACAGCTACTAGACACAGAAAGAAACCCGCGCTATGCAATTGCCAACCGGGATGAGGAATATCGGTGGATGTCTCCTTCATCGGAACGGATGCACTTAGTATTTGCCATGTTAGCACAATAAGGGGTTCTGCCTGAACCTCGGGTTCATAAGTTGGTGCGGTGACCAGCCAAGGTGTATCACGAAGATCCCCTGACCGGGTCCATTTGAAGAAGTGTATGTGAGTACCTTCTTGGAGGACTTCAAGAATGTGGCGGAGGCGGTCAGAGTCAAGACTGACGGGCGAAGTCGGTGGCCCTGCGGAGTCTTCTCAAGGGCAGGGAGAAGGCAGTCCAGGAGGTGACACGAAGTGGCCTTGTCAAGCTGGAGTGGACTGTCGGGAAGGATGCGTCGGTCTCTGGATTGGTCACACCAGCCGACCGCCAGTAAGCGATGCGTCGGTTCAAGTCGGCGCCGCTTAGTGTAGTGGCGGACCCCCTCGTGTTTGCAATTCACGTCAAGAGCTTGTTAGACCAAGCTTTGCCGGGAATAGTTCAGACGTCAAAACAGCAGTGACTAGTGGATCAGTACTTGACCGGTCTTCCACAGCCAACCGCGGAACGCGTCCGACTTGCGAATGCTACTCGGGGGAATGAAGGAGTTGGCACAGGTTACACCCGAGCTGGGCGACGCACCACTCGCTGCTCTGAAGGAGGAACCACAGGAGGGTATGGAGCGGATGGACAAATTAGTACGGATGATGGAACAGTTCGCGAAAGATGTCACTGGGCTTCGCGTTCAGTCCTCAGAGAAGCGAACAAAGGGGTGTTACTTCCTGTGCGGAAAAAACGGGACACTGTAAAAGACAATGTCCGGGGAGGCGTGCTGTTATTGGTTTACCAAATAAACGCATTCAACATTGTTTTTCTTCTCGGATCCAGGAATATGTACTCGGGGCGCTGAGAAGGGGGTGATCGAAGCAATGGTAGAAGTAGACGGAACGGTGGAACGGTGTCTGATCGATACGGGTGCCGCGGTGTCACTGATCAAGCATTGGCGGAACGAAAAGCTTCAATCATGCAGCATGGTCGTGAGAGCTGTTGGCAGTCACTCGGTGGGCATTGTTGGTATGCCCGAACATATTGTGGGAATTGGCGAACGGAAACTAACGCACATCTTTATCCTGTCATCAGATGCGAAATAAACTAGTTGGGGAGCAGGTCTCTTTGGGTTCAATAAGCCTATCGTCTATCTAAAACGAATGCGAGTCGTTACCACTCATTGGTCAAGGAAAAACGATATTTTCGTAATAGGCCGTTGCCGCGTTACATCTAAGCCCGACCTTGCTTACGGATGACAGCCGTCCGTATGGATTTTGCGACTGGATCGAGCACACCATCTCGCTAACGCGCCAGATGTATCGGCCCCTTGAACCCCGAAGGATACCAATCCATCTGAAGGCTGAAGTAAAGAGGCCATTACAGGAGATGCTGGACTTGGATGTGATCGAGGAGGTGCACAACCTATACAATTCTCCAGTGGTTTTGGTGAAGAAGACGAGTAGGAAGTACCGTTTCTGTGTGGACTGCCGAAGGTTGAATGAAATCCCCCTGAGTCGCTTCTTTCCCAGTGCCGTCCGTTTCTGACATTTGCGATATGGCAACAGTCGAGGATATTCACGGTTCTGGGTTTGTGATCCGGATACTGGAAGCTGGCGATAAAAGGAGGACCGAGAAAAAACGGCGTTTACTGTCAGTGAAAAGCAATACTAATTGAAAAAGATGCCTTTTGGATTATTGGAAGCCCCGTTTACCTCCCGATGTTTAATGCTTCGCTTATCAAGTGACTTGTAGAACGTGGCGGTGTACGGGGCTGATATCGTGGTGTATAGCCAATCAGAGGCGGATCACACCAGTCATCTTGAGGGGGTCTTGCAACGGATTCAGCAGCCTGGACTCCATGTAAATGGACCGAAATCCCAGATTGGAAAGACTTGTGTCACCTTATTGGGTCACAAAGTAGGACAATGTGACCTGAGAAAATATTGACATTAAAAAGCACCCCAGTTCCTACCTCAAAGCGCACTCTCCGAGTGTTCTTGGGCTGGGTACTACAGCAAATTCGTCAAAGAAGTCAACAAGTCGGCCTTGTCCTCGTATAAATTACTGCTGAAACAAGATAAGACATTCACTTGGACTGCAGAAGCCTAACAAGCCCCTGATCGCATTCTACAGAAGATGGGAAGGCAGGAGCCGACTCTGAAATTGCCCATTGCTGGAAAGATGTTCACGGTAGCAACGGATGCCAGCGACGTCAGAGTCGGCGTTGTTTTGAAATAAAGCCATGGGACGATTGAGTACGCCAGCAAAATCTTGACACCAGCAGAACGCAAATACTCAACGCTAGAGAAGGAATGTCTCGCATTTGTCTGGGCGTTGAACAAATGGCGGCCATATCTGTCAAGTCAGCGATTTCACGTCGAAACGTACCACAAGCCTTTGGAATGGATTAAGCCTGCCAAAAACCCCAGGGGAAAGCTAGCACGATGGGCTCTGCTACTACAGAAATACGATTTCACGATAAACCACGTGCCAGGGAAGGAGAACCAAACTGGATTTTTTGTCACGCATGATGAACGAAGACGACCTGCCCAGTGTGGCTTTCGGTGTTAATGGTATACTGTCGGAGCAGGATTCGGGACAGTTGACAAGCGAAAAACGTAGGGACAAACGCTTGCGCAAAGTGATCACTGCACGAATAACTGGTCAATC